ATATAATTTCACCAAGGGTTAAGAAGAATCTAATTTTCTTTGAGGTAATTTCCAAACAGTTGGCCGAAAATTATAAGACTATTACCAAAAAAACGGAGAAGCGAAAATTTTGAAAATATATTTCTGGAGATGTTATGAAAAAATACAAAACGCAATGGCATCTGAAAAAAATCACTTCTTCCTTTGTCAATAGGCAAAATACGTTGAGGTCCAACAAGAGGGTGGAATCGTACTCAGCTATGAAGAAAAAAATCATAGCATTTCTTGAAAAGGACTAATCAAGCAAACTTTGTCCTGGAGAAAAGGACTGCTTGGCAAAAAACAAAAACGATTTCTTTGTGATTTATTAAAAAATCTACATGAAAAATTTATAAAAATGGAAAACCTTACAGTAAGTTACGCAACATTTTGTAAAATGCGTCCATTTTGGGTGGTACAACAAAGTGTAGAAAACCGAGACACCTGCCTCTGTATGCAACATGCAAATATTTTTTTACTAACACAAAAGTTCAAATTTACCGGAGTTATACATGAAAATACGCCGGAAGATTTCTTTAAAACTCTCTGTTGTATGGGCCAAATGGTAAAAGAAATTTGCCTGGAAAGAAACTGTGACAATTTCAAAAATAATGTTATAGTTCCTGCCTCTGAATTTGATGAAAAAGATATTATTGTTTATGAAAGATGGTGCACAAAGAAATGTAAAGTGGTTATTAAAGGCATAGAAAAAGTTTTAGAACTGTTAAAAGAGTCAATAAAACCATTTTTTTACACGTTAGAAACATAAACCATCAATTTAACGCAATTCAACAATAAAATTGCCATTTTAAGTTTTGCCTGGTTTTTTCGAGTTTTGTAATCTTAGGTTTTAAGTTAATTTTGTTGTTGTATTGAATGTTTTGAATGTTTTATAGGAGACAAAAATATATTTTTTCATATAATTATTGTTTAAGTTTCTAGCAAATCTCACCTCTGTGACGCTGGTCTCATTTCTGTGAACAATAAAATTAAAAAAAAAGTTTTTAAAGGAATTAAAAGGTGAAGTGTTTAACCATTATCGACAACAATCTTTTCAAAAGCTCCTTTTTTGAAAAAACTGGTTAAAAAAATAATTTTTGTATTGTAAATTTAAAAAAAAACGGACACAGCTTTCGCGCCTTCTGGTGAGAATCACCCATAACTATAAAAATATGGCGGAATAAAAGTTAATCGCTTGTTTTATGTTTTAAATGGGATAATCACATCACATGCAGATAATAATAATGTGTATAATTAACAGGATTATGAGTGTAATCATGAAACGTTTACTAGGTTTTGAGTTTTTTTATTTATTGCATAAATTAATTTGTTATAGGATTAAAATGTTATAAGATTGTTATGTAACCATTTATTCTACATTTTTAGTATTTTTCTTTTCAAAATGTAGAATGAAACAGTAGGTGATATTAGTCATTCCCCATTCCAATTAATCAGGCTATGAGACCGAACAAACAGAGACAGAAATAAATAAATAAGTTACTAATACAAACAAACGCGTAAATTACAGTTCCTGCTCGATGTTGTTTATCTAACTTCATCATCGTTCAGCAGGAAAAATCGACACATGTTGGGTATTAGCTGGTAATTTTCAGTAAACAGTGTTAATTCGATAGGTATGTCGAATTAATACATTGAGTGCAGGATAAGCTTTTAATGTTGCAGGTTTTAATGTATTTTGGAAAAATATTTCATATTTATCGAAGAAAACTTGACTGGACAATTATATCTTGATTTTCTTGAAAATGTTATAGACCCAACCCAGTCATTAGCAAATCAGATGGACGAACAAGGTAACATGCTGCATGGTAAAGGACATTTGTAGATGGAGTTCCTCCTCACTATGCTTTACCAGGCAGAGAATGGTTGAACCAAAGGTTTCCCAAGAAATAAATTGGTGCTCGAGAATGGCCGGCAAGATCTCCAGATTTAATGCCACTTGATTCCTTTGGAGTCATTAAAAAACACAAGTATACAAAACACCACCTGAGAACATTCAAGAACATTTGTAGTTTGTAGTTTTGGTAGTTATTTCAAAAGAAAAATCTGGTCTGGTAAAAAAAGATGTTATCGCTCCTGACGAATTTATGTAGTGAACATGAAATTTTGATTGTTCTAAAACTTCATCAATTTATCTGGTGGTTACAACCTATACTTTGGTATACCAGGTTTATATAAAAATTAAAAACAAAAAATAATTTTGATAGATGTTCTTTATAAATTATCTAAGATTCCATATAATTCATAGCACTTTTAAAATTTGAATCCCAAAAGCAAATTTAATGGTTTCGATAAATCAAACAATTATAAATACATTCTAATTCCCTTAATTTTCCCGAGATTACTTTTAATAACACCTAATTTCGGGTTTCATTCTCAAAACTTTTTAATTCAACTATTAAAACCCTTTCTTTAATTGACTTATAATTATAAAATATAGTGGTAGAAATCAAACATAATAAGAGGGCGTTGGAAACCAGAAATTGCGATTCGCCGAAAGGTTGTATTCATCTTAAATATCTTTAATTGATATAATCGTTTCATTCATGATATTTTTTTACCTTTAACGATGTATCGTGTCTTCTTTTCTATTTTATTATATTTTATATGACTCTCCTTCTCCTACTTTCACCCCCTAATTATTTCTTTCTATTTTCTATATTCAATTTTAAAGAAAGAAAAAGTTGCTCGTGGAAAATTTTGATTAGAGCCTTTGTTTAGGATATATTTAGGTTTGAAGGTTTGGAAAGACAATCTGTACTTGTCTAATCCCGGCGAATTCGCCATAATTGCAAGAAATTTTCTATAGAGTTTCCTTTCAATATTTTCTTTTAATATTTAACATGCAAAGTGTTCTTTTATAATATTGGGTGGAACATTTCCACAATATAAATTCATCAAAATCTAAAAAAATAAAACAAAGGCATTTATAGATCCTTAATATCATTTTCAAGAGCTATAATCAAGAAAAATTTTGATCGAATTAAAAGTCGTATCGAGATCCCATGTCATTAATCAAAAAACATCGTGAAATTACCGAAAATTTTTTGGTACAAAATCGTTCTAGGGAACAATAAATCTAGAGAGAGATCCATCTCAAGTATTTTGCTGGATTTAATTATGTGTGAAGATTCAACAACAATTTAGCTATCAGGTGAACAGGGCCGGAATAAGAAACACTTGGCGAAGAGCCTTAATGTCATTTAACTTTTTTCCGAAAGCTGTCTTCAATACTTCCTCAGTAGCACAATATATTGGCCCAATGTACGAACTACATTTGACCAATATTGCAATATTGGCCCAAGGCAGTTCATACATTGGGCCAATGGGTTTGTACGGAATGTGTTAGCTCCAGCCATAGGTAACGGACCTCCAACTCAAGCCTTTCACTGAAAAACTGCATAAGGTTCTTTAATATCTGTAAAGTACCTCATATTCTTAAGCATTTGCCAGGAATAAGATCAAAGACGTCCCTGTCTAAAAACATCACTACCAACTATCCATCACGGATTGACAGGTGCAAATCAAAGCATCATTTAAGAAAAACAGCAACAACTATAACTAAAAAAAGCAAAAACCGATAGCTCAAATTAAATCGGAAAGGAAAGGTTTGAGCAATTATCTCGAACAACAATGGGATCGATTAAACAATTAAAGCGAATTAAGTGTAATTTGTTAAAAAAAAGAACGCACGCGATTTCAAAGTGTGTATAGGTCACGTTGGGCAAAAATATAACTTTGATGCAGGCCATAATGTGGAAAGTGGAATGCCATGATTTCCAGATGCCTTGCCTGAACCAGACAAAAGTAAATTTTTGGCACAACTTTGAATAAAAGGTTTTAGAGATAAATATATCACAATTCAGCCCAGGTGTATGTATGGACTAAACATAAAATTTCAGCTTCATTGGTCCAGTAGTTTTTAGGCTATCGTGGCAATTACTGAATATCAAGTTGCTATTTAACTTCTATGGACTTGTGTCCATCCTATAACTTCCGGTCTTCCAAAATTTGACAATTTTCGAAACTCCCATCTTTTTAACTGACCCTCTGTGCCTATATTTCGATTCCTCTTGATTTTGACATATGGTCGAAGTAAACAACGATTGATGTTCCCAGATGATGGATGGTTGGCTTAAGAAAGGGCCGGTGTATTTTTCGTGAGGTTTATTGGGTCTACTTCAGGTGTTTCGAAGCCAAGTCGGGTATCTTCTTTGGTATAGGTAACTTATGATATTTGATTGACAGCTCGAAATAATTGAGGTTTGATCGGGTCATTATGTAGTTTAGAAACAAAGTATTTTTTAAATGTTACGTTGGGTGGGTACTTAATTTTGGTATTGTTAGTAGTTATATCTATTATGAAGGACAGCAAAATTATCTGTGAAATTCGTTTTAAATCTAGGATTATCTAAAATTACGACAAGCTTGAATAAAAAGACAAAAAAATAATACGATAACTACAATGATAGCGCCTCATTTAAATACGTAAACAGTGAAGCTTATGAGATCTGGCGGCCTTAAAGTCACTTCAAAGCCTCACTAGTGTTGAAATAGATGGCGCTATCTACCAAAACAAGGTCTCTATTCGTACATGTGCACAAAATTCAAACAGTATTGCATTTTTCTCCTGAAAAACATTCGCTAGATAAAGCCTTACCTTTAATTGCTTATTCGTTTGCATTGTTTGAATTGTAACGATAAATAAATTCGTCTTATCACTCTAACAAAGCAACATTTTACAATCATTGAGAAATAAAATGATTGTTAATGGTATACAATTAAATAATAAACTCTCTCCTACAATCATTACCTGTTAATATAATAATCCAGGTAGTGGCCTTTTTTAAGGTTATAGCCATTGCAAAAATAATAATAAAACAATGAGTTCAGGAAGGAAATAAATATTTATTTTACATTATCTTAGAGAATAAATACATATATACAAATATATATAACAAAAAGGACGTTTAAAATCTTTAGCTTTCGGGTAACTTAACTTCATCATAACTAAAAAAAATCAGTCTCAATAACAATACTATCTACAATAATGCTGAATTTGATTCTAGAGGTAAAATCTTTGGTAACAAATAGTTATATAACAAAAAAAGCCTATCGCTTCATTATATCCTCTATAGAGAAGCCTAGTTTAACTTTTTTTGGTTCTGTAGTTTTCTTCGTCAAATCCAGGCATATGGAGCTTGCAGGTACCGTACTTGTTGTTGAATCTTTCTCTTGGTGTTTTATTTCGTGTGCTTTCAAGTCGGCGTATGTAGCGAAAAATTGGGCACACATCGAGCACTCCAATGGCTTCTCGGTATGGGTTAGAAGGTGGGTCTTTAGGTTGGAACGCTGGTTGAAGGATCTCGAACAGATTGGGCATTTATGGGGTGATTCTTCCATGTGTAGAATCTTGTGCACTGCTAATGTTCTCGATTGGCAGAATCCTTTCCCACAGTCGGTGCATTTGAATGGTTTCTCCTTGCTGTGAATGTATCTGGAAAGAAGAGTTTGGTTTAGTATATTTCTTACTCTATTTACTAAATTAATTTGTTGACTGTATATAAAAAGGATAATTACCTATGATCTCTAAGGTGATCTTGTCTTCTAAAGGCTTTACCACAAATGTCACAGGAGTAAGGTCTTTCATCAGTGTGAGTCCTTTCGTGAATCAATAGGTTGTAACTCTTGGTGAACTGCCTATTGCAATACTTGCAAATGAATTGCTTCTTGGGTCGCGTAGAACCTCCTGTTGCTTTGGCAGGAAGGGGTGCTCTAGGTTGCCTTAAATCCTGGAACTGCGTCCTGGCATGGTACAAAGCCGCGTTTCTAAACCATTGGTTCATCATCACTTGGTTGTATGGGTATGGCACTACGCCGTGGTATTGTTGGGGGTAACTTTGTTGATCCATGGTGCTGTGATAACTATGTTGTGTTGAGTGTTCGTAAGGCTGATATCTTTGCGGTGGTGGGGAGTAGGTTGGCGTGTGGGGTGGGGTTAACAGAGGGGACGTCGAGTCCGCTTCTTGCTTCACTTGCGTCGAAAATTGGTGAAAAACTATAAAAAATAATACAAAAAATTAGTCACGATTCACTTTATGTTCACTGTATAACACACACACCTTTAGCGTTATTAGCTGAATGGTTCACTTCCAAATAATCCAAATTCATGATATATCACTATGTTATAAAAACTTTGCACTGGTATTTTGAGTTTATCTCTCAACAGTAGGCAAGCTGAGACTGATGCTACCAAGGACTTACCGGGGTAGTCATAGTAGCCACGGCCGGTGGTAACCACGCCCCCAGGTCAATGCCGCGTTTCCATTGGGTGCAGGTGGGCATGCGCTCGCAGGGTTCTAGATCGGCGTGCTGGTAGCGCCTGCTTTTAGGGTGTTACGTAATTTTTTGTTGCTTTGAATTTGGGTTTTTGATATGGGGTATAATTATGGTTCGAGAGATTTGAGAACTTAAATTGTGAGAATTTAGTCTTTTATCAAGTTCCGAACCTTTGAAAAATAGTTTTAGGGCATTTAAAGATTTTTAAGACTTGTAGGTAAATCTGATTTTTTGAGCAATTTGGTTTATTTTGGACAGTTATATTTCCAGGCATATACCGTGTGTTTCAATTTGATTGGCAAAAATTCGGCATCTATTTAAAAATAAATCGATTAAAAAAATAATTGTTTTTAGTTTGTAGTACTCGCAAAGCTCTACCTTTTGAAAAAGAAAAAATTGTCATATGCCATTTCCATGGCTTTCTATGATTAATAGAAGAACTCCAAAAACTTCTAAAGTTACTAGGCATTTTTTAAATTTAAAAAACGGATAGAGTTTTTGAATTTGAAATACACTCTCTAAAAATGAAACAGTGGATTTTCACTGATTGACAGTGCATATTAACTATTTGCCGCAGTGATAAGTATACCACTAGCAATTAGTGATATGGGTTTAGTTCAAAAAAGTTAAAATTTCACTATTTTATGTCGGGAAAAGTAGTGATAATAAAAAACACTAATTTGGAGAAGTTAAAATTTCACTAATTTATATTGAAAAACACTAATTTTACAGTGAATAATAACTCACTGACGGAAATAGTAAAAATTTCACTGTTTCACTTTTAGAGAGCACAAAAACCCCTAAAACAATAATTTTGTAATGAAATTTTATACAGGATGGTCAAAATTAAGGTCAAACTTGGACCAAATTCAATTTAAGCACTTTAGCCAAAACATTTCGTTTTTTTTTAAGGTATATTACATGAACTGCTTACTCTCTAAAAGTGAAACAGTGAAATTTTAACTTCTCCAAATAAGTGTTTTTTATTATCACTACTTTTCCGGAACTCTCGACATAAAATAGTGAAATTTTAACTTTTTTGAACTAACCCTATTTCACTTATTTGTACAGTGTAATTTCCACTAAATAAATTAGTGCAAAGAAATCGCTACATGAAAAAGTGAGTATTCACTAATTGCTAGTGGTATACTTATCACTGCGGCAAGTATACTGAGTGTAAACAAATTAAGGTAAAAAATTATAAAAAATTATGGTATTCTAAATAGATTTTTTTTAAATCGGTCTATTTTTAAATAAATACCGAATAGCCGCCAATCAAAATAAAACACACTGTGTTTATATTTGTATTCAGTGAATCTAAATGAAGTCATTGTATATCAAGGGGGAAAACGTATACTAAATATAATATAATTTGATTGAAGGCTAAATTGAACAATTTGACGTTTAATTTACTGTTTTAGGGTCCGTAACTTGATTTAATAGGCAAATTCGTCTAAAACAAAACGATTAAAGCGATTATTAGCGTTATAACGGACTTGGTTGATTAAAGAACGCTTTAAGTATAGTTAGAAATATGGTATTTTTTGTGTCTATACAGAATAATAAAAAGTAAAATCGGTTGTATGTAATTTGATTGAAAATATACAGGTCAAATTTGTCGGGAGAAATTGTAGTAGTACGGTATACCTTACTTAATCCGTTCAGTAGCGTAGGGAATAACCTTGACACCTTAAATCTTTGCCGAAAAGTATTAAGTGAAAATAACGTCATTTCGGTAACGCATTGTTTAAATGCCCGCAACTTAAACGTTTATTATGTAGTTTTATGCTTTCTGATAAATACTAATAATAATTAAAAAGAATCTGCTTTTTATAATTTTACATTACATTAGCTATGATAGGGGGTCAGTCAAAGGTCAAGGGTCAAATTTTCATTAAAAATATTTAATCAAATATATTTTTTGTTATTTACATTTTTTATTTTTATTTTCGACGCTACTGTTTCAGTAAACTAAATTAAAAAGTAATTAGGTAATATTTTTGTGTACCGGAATTCTCCAGAGGTAGATTTATATGGCCCGGACTGCTCCGGCTAAAGTGGTATTAAGACGGGATTCTCCAAATACGTAAAACTTAATAATTTGAATTTAATAGGATTAAAAGTTTAGGTCTATTGTGTGATGCCGCCTTAAGAATAAATGCTTAATGTTCGTCGTCTATGTGGAAGATTTAGGTAAACAAATAATAAATCTGCTACACCATTTTCGAACTTTTAAATACTATTTAAAAACTAGCAATGTTTTGTAAGTCTAAAAATAATATTCAAAATATGTTTTTAGCTTTTTAGCTTTAGCTTTTAAAAATAAACGCTCAAAATGAATAACATTATTTTGTTCTATTCTCAAATTCCCTTCGAACATTTTAAAATGTTTGAGTTTTGTGGACCCTAAAAAAAAGTTATCCTAACAAGTGCGCAAAGTTAGATAACAATGATTATTTTAAAATTTACTTTTATTAATGTTTATTACAAAGGAACAATTATTAATATTTTCTAAATCAATTGTAGAACAGGTTAACTCATTCAACGGGTGACTTGTACTATTTAATAAAGATTGGCTTAACTCAGAAGAGCCGTTTTTTATGTCCAATATTTTATTTGATATTTTTTTTTGGTCATGGATTCTTCTATGTAGCTCTCGGCGAAAGCCGTTGATTTCCAGCCTCCAAGTCGCTTAACATTGGAAATTCTTTCCCCAGAATCGGCTAATATGGTAGCGGAGGATCTACGAAAATTATGACCTGTGTACTCCTCAGGATTTTTAAGTTTTAGATATGCAGCTATTTGTGCAGGCATTTTACCAAATATATTAATTCCTACACATTGGGTAGTGCATGCTTTTCTTTTATAATTGACAAAAAACCGCTTGTGTGGGGTATTTGGTTTTCGCAAATTTGAATATTTTCGAAACTGTCCAAAATTTTCACGATTATTAAATTTTCTTTATTTCTATATCAACAATAATTATCTTTGAGAGCTCTTCTAGCTTACAAGCCAACCCAAAAATAGTGGCCACTTTTATTAAAAGGTAAATTTCATCAGGTGCTTCTTTAATGAATCTTGAAATGTCATCTTTCTGAAAAAATTTGGACTTTTTTGGTCGGTATTCCACATTTTCCTTTTTTATATACAAAGTAAAAAATTTTGTCCGTGTACATTTTTTAGTGTAGGGGTAGAAATATTAGAGTTGATACACTACAAAATACACTAGGTAGCATTTAGTGCTTATTAACTTTATTAAACACATTTAAAGAATATGAACATTATTCATTGGTACATTCACACTATTTATTATTAAAATAAATCAAAAGGGTAGAAAAACTTAATGCGAGTGTTTATTACCCCTTAATGTGTTAAATAGTGACAAAATGTACACTACAGTGCATGCCAATTTTTTTGTCTGTTTTGATGTTCTTTACACTACTAGTGCACATTGTATCACAATTAAAGTTCAATAGTGGCAAAATAGACTGAAAAAACTGGTAATAACCGAAATGCATTTTAAAATGTTTTGTTGGTACCTATCTACCTACGCAGTGCATATTCGGAGATACCGCGTTGTGGAAGTGTGGCATTTTTGTTCAGTTAGATTTTAATTACGGTGAATCCATAAGGGGACATTCTAATTTTTTGGTATTATATATATATATATATATATATTCTTTTTCTTTAAGCCTTAATACTCAATAAATACCAATATGTTAAAAGGATGTCCATACCCGACATATGTATACAGCCACCTGACGCCTCTCTATAGTATACCAATGGAATCACACATTTTTTATAGCAGAAAAATGAATTACTGATGAATTCTCAATAGCCAGTAAAACATTGCATTGATCTAAAACTTTTACGTTTTAAGGAACCATTTTGCTTAACCCATCCATACGACTCAAATAAAAAAATATATTTTAAAAGGCACCGATTTTGATAATTGTCATAGATTTTTGTTCCAAACAGTGCCGGTTTAACAGGGGTTTTTTGGGGACTATAGCACCGGGCAGTAAATATTTTTAGGGCGGTACCGCGTACCGCCCTAATTTAAAAAAAAAATACTTAATCGTTAGAATTTAGAAAAAAAAATATTGCGACACTGCGTCGGCGGATACAACGGATACAAATGAGAAAAATGTTGTTAGAGTTGAAGCAGCTTCTCCATCAGAAAAACTTGATTTATTGCATGGAAACGGAATAATTTTAACTTTTTGGATAGACGTTTTGCAAAGGGTTAATGAAACCAATAAAGCAGTCCAAAAACAAAATATGGATGTAAGCACAAATGCTCATCTTTTGTCATTTTTAGTTGAGAACTTTGATTTTTTACGTGATCAGTTTGATCATTACGAGGAAATAAGCAGGAAACGAAAATTATGCTCAAAAGCGGATAATCATAAGAAAATTACAATTTGAAGAAAATAATTCAAAGGCAAATTTAAGCAAAAAAGAAACAATGCGAACAATATGTTTTTTTTAATAATTGACAATCTATAATCCGAAATCATTTGTCGATATGATAGCTAGAAATCTGGCACAAACAAATTTGAATTTTTGTTTAATCTATAGATTTTTTTATAAAAGCATTAATCTTCGTGGAGGATTTGGATGAGTTTTTTTCTCAAAAATGTGTCCAACTCAAGAAACTGGTAACTTCCCTTTCGGAAATAAAAATAGAAACTTCATTGGAATTAGAATAAGTTTTATACGAAAATAAATTAATATCTTCATTTCCGAATATTAATATTTGTCTGCAAATTTTTTTTTTTAATGGTTTCAAATGCAAGTGGTGAACGATCTTTCTCTACTCTAAAAAGGGTAAAGAACTACCTAAGAAATACAATTCCCCAAGAAAGATTTAACTCCTTAGCAATTTTGTCCATTTATCAAGACCTGCTGGAGGAAATAAATGTAAAGTGTTATAAAACAAATAAAGAC